AAAAAAAATTAAGCCAATAGAAGGCTGTTAGATCGTCGGCCGATCGAAAATGGGACTTAAACTTACCTCATAAGCGCTGGTAGTTTGGAGTTTGAAGAAAATTGGTAAGTACAGGTATGCGGCTATAGGAGTGAACACCAAATGCCCCAAGTAGATCAATATGAATTGAAATCCAAAGGAATAATTTTCGCTGGATACTCCCAGCATGGTTACAGCTGACATAAAAGAAGCGGTTAAAGAAACCGCCACTGGGTATATGGACATATTTTTATCAGCGTGTATGTATTCCTAAAAGAAAGAAAATCAGGTAATTATGAGAAAAAATTTTCCGAAAAACGTGCTTTGTTAATTAGAAAATCTTCAAAGTTTTCTCCCAAGTTGAGGCGGTCATTCTGAAATAATATGACATTGAAAATGAAACCTTAAAATTATTAAATGAGTATATAGCTGAGCAAAAAATATTAACTAGTATCTACTGATGGGTACAGGTGACAAATCGAAGAAGTATATCGAAAACAAAATTTGCAAAAGGCGCCTAAAAATGTTTTCTTATTTAAATTTCACATAGAATCCAAAAATTCATCATAAAACTCATGAGGCCGCAATTTGAAAATTTCAACTTGAGGTAGTATCTAAGTTTTAGAACACCCTGTGTTCAAATGGTTTATTGGAAAATACGCATTTAAAAATATGAAAATTCGCGTCCGGTTATTTTTGTAGAAAAAAAAATCCTAAATTTTAATGTATTATTATTAACCTACAATATACCTTACAATTTTAGTTATTTCACAAAATTTTGAGTTTACTCAAAAGTCCACATTTTTTAAATTATTTGGAAGCTATTATTAATTTTAATTATTTAATTTAGAAGTATTAAAAAAATGAACTTAATCCCGATGTAAAACTATTAATATAATAGTAGTAACCTTATTATTAATAAATCTGTAAATATCAGATATAAATAATAAAGCAAATATTAATTAACGTATACAACAATTACTGGCACATTATTATTTAATCGAAACACTTATTAATTCAGACACTTGTTGATCTCAAAACAGCTTATTTAAATCATGCAGTAATTATTTTTTATTGCTTCAATAAGATGTTTGAATTATTTAGGCAATTGCCAAATTGGGTCGATTACACAAAATGTTTCCAGAAGCACTGGTCGAGCTTTACTGGCAAATATTGCACAGAATAATTAGTTGACAAAAAGAAATATGTTCGATTTTTTAAGAGTTAAGCTAACTTTATCATTTACGATTCCGCAGCGTTTTCTTAACAGAGCACATTAATTGTGGAAATAAACTTAAAGAAAGAAAATTTGCTGGAAAATGCTTACCTTTACTGTTTTCTGCTTACCACCCGTAAACCGATAGTAAATACCGATACTGGATGATATGAAAAGCATTAGTACAACAACCACATAATCCCAAATTCCAAATCCTGGTTGCACCTTCATGTTTATTATATTTTGGTCAGTCAAGCATCTAAAAGATTTATCTCTCGTAGTCAATTTTCACTTCACTCGAGTCTAAAAAAAACATTTACCGTTAGACGTTGTAGGTACAGGTGCACCAAAATTTGATGACTGTAACAGCGGTCTTACGTTATTTTTGGTGCAAATTATAGTTTTCAAGTAAAAATCGTGAAAACCTTTTGCAAATCATCCGGATGAAAACGTGTTTCTAACTATACTGTGCGATGTTTATTTATGACAAAACACTTTCACAGTACAAGGCCAACAGATTGAAATTGAACTATTGGTTAGCTATTTCTGACTGAGATTAGTCTCAATCAATTACAGATTAATCATTATAAATTGATTGGTTAATTTATGTTTTTGGACGAAACAAAATCATAAAAAATAACAAAGAATTATTGTGATTGGGTTACTGACTTAAATTCTGGTTAAGTAAAACATATCCTAGTTTTCCTTTTGGTTTGCCACACAGTTTTTGAATAGTGTGAGAACCATATTTATCCGCTGAAAATTATTCCTATTTAAGAATAACAAATAATAATCTACTTATGTCAATTAAAAATAATCTTAAGAGATAGTAATACAGATTGCTAGTTTAATTACGTTAAAAATTAAAACAGTTTAAAAATTGTTGGGTGAAAATAAATGAAAGTATTGTCGATTCAAATTGGGAATCAACTAAATTGAAATGAACTAATTTGCCTAATGTTAAAAAAGTTAAACTTGCGGCGTGTGATTTGCCAAAAATTATATTTTTCGTGAGATATTTGGCATTATTCAATCACTAAGTAATAAGCTATAATTAAAATGAGACATTTTATTCTTGGGCAAGCCCTAGCACTAGGCACTAGCGTAGAAACCGGAAAAGAAAAATACTCTAGTTAAAAACTTAGAACTGGTCTGCTATCTAAATTTTGAGTACCCTGTTTTAAAGCAAATTAGGCTCTTATCTAGAAAATTGACATTTATTTTGTATTTTATATTATAAGGTTCCAAAAGAAAAGCGAGAGACAGACAAGGTTATTTTTCAATTGAGGAACCAAATATGAATTTTATTGTTGCCTCAATTTACCTGCTATGAATAAAATGGGAATAAAGTATCAACTAATAAAATGTCATTTGAATTGAATACATATTATATTTATTTTCCTTCAAAATTACAGAAAATTTGTTAAAAAAAATTATTTAACATTTTTTTATAACACAGCGTGATTTTTTTAAACAGTGATTCTTAATTAAATAAAAATAATTAAATATAAAAAATTACAGTGGAGAATAAAATATTTCTGGAATATAAGAGAGTATGTAAATGAACAAGTTTTACTTCTAAAATACAGAGAAACGCGCCTTTCCGTCGATTTTAATCTTGCTTGAAAATTATATATATTTTTATACTTTGAATCTTGTTTAATTTAACATACAAAAAATAATAGACGTAATATGAAATAAACGATATGAAAATTTTTATTTCACATTTTGACTGAAACCCAAGAATATAAAATATAATAAAAACAAATATTAATTACTGGTAGAATTACTTGTAAAATTATTGACTTAAATTATTTGGTGATTACTTCCTGACCGTCCTTTATTTTTTGAAAACAATTCAATATATTTTATGTAAACCCAATTTTATTTTGTAATTTTTATTAGAAAAGTACAATTTTACCATAAATAACGATATTTGTTTAAATAAATGAGTGGAGTGGAAATTTTTACAAACAAATAATAAAAGTGAAATGCAATTAAAGTAAAACAAAGTTGTGTAAAACAAACAATGTGCGTTTTGTGCAATTTGTAAAGAGGTTTGAAATCCAAAGATTATTGAATGCATTACGGACATTTCTGTGGAATTCGTACTTTAAAATTTGGATAAAAACATTAAAATGTTTATAATTTATAAATTTGAAAGTTGTAAGTATTAAAGTATAGTTTATTTTAAAATATTTTTTTCACAGTGTCTTAAATTCAAGTGGTAAACCAAACTTGCGCACTCATTAATATACAGGCACTATGCAATAAAATAAGCATATTCAAATAGTAATGTTCAATACTAATTACATAATAAATACACTTTGACCTAATTCTCTTTAATACCGTGTTCACTATTAATTAAATGGTTTCTGCTTAATAGCCATTTTCTCAGCACATGTTTTTTATCAACGATAAGATAAGCTCACCGCACTATTAAACAACTCCCTAATAGAAGCACTAAATCTTCAAAAAACATTTGAATCGATGTAGGATGTGTGAAAAACTGTATTCAGACAAAACCAACGATTAATTTTGATGAAACCGACAAGTTCACCACATGAGTATGATGATGACTAAACTAAAGTACTGTTATTGCTTAAACCTTAAATATGATCGGCAATATGTTCAAGTTCATTCATAAATACCATTTAATGTGCGCTTAATTTCCGATTGCAAATTTGTGGGTATATAGGTATACAAGGTGTGATAAGTATGAAGGCAACTCGGAAGAGGTAATGACAAAAATCGGTTTCTTAAGCAAAGATATACTTTCAATAAAAAATATCTACAATTTTAAAATAATTTTTGCTAAAAACCATGTGTAATAATCACATTATACAGGAGCGTTTATAATATTTAAAATATTTTAGAGATTTGGTTTGTTCAAACTGCACTTAGGAAACTTGTTGTAAACAGTTGTAGCGACAGTATGGAAAACTAGTTCAATTACTGAGGGGCTGCTTCCCACGGTTTTTAAATAATTTCTAGCTGCGATCGAAGCAAAGCTTTTATCAACATCTTCCGAAACCAGCTTCCTAATTAGTGAAACAATTTAAGTAGCCTATATAAATATCCAATAAACCGTGGATTATTGAATAGTTTGTAAGCCATTGGATAAATCGAGTCTCAACTACAATCAATGGGTGGAAAATCAAGTCATAATGATGGCCAACAGGAGTCAATGATTTTACGTTCTGATTTTCTGTCAGTTGTTGATTTCTAAAGCGTTGTCCTAATGAGCATGGCTAAGATTTATGATGGAAGAAACCAAAACCACATTTTGTAAAGAGATTTTTTGTAGGCGTATATTTCAAGCAAAGAAATAGATTCTTTAAGTTGCAAACAGTTTACCAGTAGAAGGCAGTTCCAGCCAAAAAATGTTCGATAATGTTTCAGTTTATCAGACCCTTGCTCGCTCTGACAGTATTTTTATTAACAACTTTTCTTTCTGGTGGCGTAACTACCACTTTGTGAAAAGCGGCTTTTAATCACTTTTTGCGCATTAAAATTAACTACTTTGCATAAGATAAAACGAGCATCTGATCAACTATAAAATTATTCAATATTTTTCCAATATACCCATTTTGTTATAAAAACATTTTGTTTATTATAGTGTGATTAAAACAATTTTTTTTGTTTGAGAGACCACATGGAAAGAAATAAAACCACCTGATTTATAAGAAAAGAAAAAATTGTAATAACTGGTTTTAATAAACCTGAAGATGTATAAAATAGACCACAATTCAAAACGTCGCGAACTGGATCAATCACTTTTAGGGGCGAGGTTTTAATATAAAAAGCGCACTATGGCAACTCTGGTGCTTTTGTGGCGCTCAGGATTGGCCTTCACGTTGAAGGTAAAATCAAAATTACCCATTCTTTGTTCTGTTCCTTTTCATCTATACGCGAAAACAGAGATAAACATTGCTATTATCGAAACCTTGAATAAAAAAACCTTGTTGATTTGACGTTTATAACCTTAAATTTACAATTATCGTCAACAGTAGCACAGAAGTTTATTTTCTCCAAGAAAACTGTTTTATACTAATGAGGCTAATTTATTGTTTGCGGTGATGGAAGCGTGACTCATAAAAGTGAATTCGGATTTATGTACATAAGGTAATTTTCAAATATTTTGCGTTACTTGGTGATTTTTTCGGATTTCAATATTGTGAACTGTAAATGTAATATAAAAAGGATTAAGATTTTTAGCAGCTCGAAGTCCATAATTCAATATCTGGGCATTAACTCAAATGGTTTCACATGACTTGCTACAGATTTATTCCATGTTTAAAATATGCTTTAATACTTCATTTAGTAAACATAGATAAATTATCAGCTTTAGCAATCGTAGTAAGTGTTTAGAAACGATGCAGATAACATAATTTATTATATTGCAAAGAACCACCATAATGAATGCAATACGAGATACATGTCTTAATATTTAGTAAGTTCCAAGCACAAGGGTATTCTTGCATCTTCATGCATTAAGAATCTGGGAAACTGAGGGCTCTTCGATGTTATGCAGTTGTTAATCAGAGCTTTGTCTCGATACATCAAATTCATAGTTAATGTACTTTTAGGTATCAGTAGGATACAGATCGGGCATTTTCTAGTTTATCGAGCCCCAGTGTTCAAAGAACATGGCTCTTGCGTGCGAGGTTAACAATATGCTCAGCTAATAGTTAAGTATCCCTTAACTGACAAATAATTATGTAATAGTTTGTCTGGTGGAAATGCAGTCTCGGTCACTTTTCACTCATTGAAATTTTCTGCTTTTCCAAAAGATAAAAAAGGACGTCACTGCGTTATAATGGCATAGTGTTAACAATTCATACACGTGTTTTCTGCTTTGAATATACACCCACAATGAAATTATCTTTATATCTTATTGCTTTCCTCCATCTTAGTCCTTTGCTATGCTCAAGATATAGATACTCAAAAGGCAAAATCATTGTCTCATATTTTCCATAAGTATGCCCCATTGATTGTAGGGGTTCAACATTTTATTTTTTGCGTTGTACGCCCACGGGACATCTCAATACTGATATTCCTTAAATTGATTCATGCATTTAAATAGAACAGAAACAAAACTGAACCACCAGAAAAATAGAAATAAAACAAATGGCAACAGATTTTAACATTAATTATACATATTTTTCATTATCATCAGATACAGATTCACATAGAGCAAATATATTTATTGAAAAAAGTCGCATTTATTTACACTTGCACGTCTAAATTTGGATTATGGAGACAGGGGGTAGAAATATAATGCGTCCCCTTTGCTTATAAGAATGTGTAAATTGCAGGAATTCTTCTAAATTGAAGTCTATTTATACATATAAGAAATCTATTTTCGCGTTTGAAGGCACGAGTGTTTACCATCAGGACAATTGTTGTTATGTTACGTCAAAATAATGTTATCTATATTTTGGTGTTATCTCTAATATCAGTAAATGATTTTTTTAAATCCATGTTCAATGTCGAATGAATATAATTAACGATAATTAAAATTAACACTGTTTGGGTTAGTATATGCACATATGTACCAAGCCATTATTTCAGAATGGAAAGGCCCAGTGGCAGTAATGATTTGAGTCCGACCGTATCTTTTCCAAGAACAAGCATAGGTTCAGATGCAGACTATGATGATGACTTGGGAGTTCCAACATCAATTAAAGTTGTTGATATTGGAGATGGCCCAGTCGCAATTGAAAATTCTGATGATGAATTGGAAGGTAAGTTTGCGTCTGATTAGTCGAGTAATTTAAGTGTGGTGGGTCTCTATCTGTTGCGAAAAAACGCGGATAAAATAATTATCAGGAAATTGATTTTTATTATGGTTTAATTAGGAACTAATCGACTTCTTTTCTGCATGTTACTTTTTAAAGTTTTTTCTAAGTAAAATATGAAATAAATTGTTAACTTTAGAAATTATGGACCAATAAGTGTTTGAGGAATGATGAACAAAATGCCATGAATACTTTCGTTACTACTTTTAGTGATATTATTGATTAAATGATGATATTTCTTCATAGAAGTATAATTTATATATGCATTAGCAGGCATATGCAACCTTGTTTGGTTGTGGTTTGGTGTGAAGCATTGGCGATCATTAAATTTTTGAAATAAAAAAATATTTTAATCTGAAAATATCTGGAAAAAAAATTTGTGAAAAGTAATTGGTTCAAATTCAGGATTTTTGTCACATTCTGCAGTAACACTGACAAACTTAACATATTTATAACCTTTCTATGAAATAATGCCTGTACATATTTGAAATCTTAAAATATGTTTTTTTTTTAGTATTATCCATAAGTATTATCCCAACAAAACAGATTTGGTTCTTTGTTTATACAGCAAAACATCGTAACTCTATTATGTAACAGCCATTTATTAAATATCTGCAATAATTAAGAAACACAGTATATATTTAAAACGTAAATTACCTTATATTTTATATTAATTACAGCATGTATTTATAGGCCTTAGAAATTACCTTTTCTGAGCTTTTTGCTAATTATTTTTAAATGTATTTTCTAATTGTTAATAATTTCAAACAAATCAAGCGCGTTTATATTTGATTTACCTTTGCATTAATGAATTTTCTGATATTTTAGATGAGACTTATGAAGGAGGAGCTCCTTTCAGCAAACTCCATAACTATGTTAAATTCAATTCGGTGAATCGAAACGTTTTTGTTCCATCAGAAGATATTGTAGTAACTCTAACAGGCTACGAAAGGGAATTGACCACACATATGCTGAATCCTAATTTGTAAGCTTTTACGTTCAATTGGGGTGGTTATTTTAAGTGTTTTTTATATTTTCATGGTTTTATAGATACACTATCGGCATTTCACATGCGGGATTTAATTGGAAAATTAACAAAAGATATAAAGATATACAAAGTTTGCATCAGGAATTGGTGTTGTTTAGAACAGGATTAAACATACCATTGCCGAGTAAAACGCACAAAAATAAAAGAAAAACTTTTAAGGAAAATGTACCAAAAAATAAGAAAGGAAAACGAAAAGCTGCTCTTCCCAGGTAACGAAGGTTGAGAAATATGTGCTTTACTGAACTAAAAATACGCGTTTTTTATTTCCAGATTCCCAAATAAGCCGGAAATATTAGTTACTTATGAAAAAATTCCAAATAGAATGAAGCAAATTCAAGATTATTTAAATAATTTGGTGTCGATCTTTATTTATCGAAACCATCCCGATACTGTAAGTACTTAACTGTTCCAATACCAATTAAATAAAATTAAAAGCATCGAGTTTTCAGCTTAATTTTCTGGAAGTTAGCCATGTGTCCTTTATTAAAGATTTGGGCTCTAAGGGCAAGGAAGGTATTGTGAAAAAGAAATCTGGTAGCACTCATCCAGGGCAATCGGGTTGCAATTTTTTTGGTTGCTACGGATGTTTTTGCTGTCTTAGGTAAATTTTCTTTGTTAGGAAAATTAATACGAAAATACGATGTGGTTTCTTAGGTGTCAACACTTTTGTCGGACATTCGTATGCTCCAGATGGCTCAAACGGTGGTTATTCATCAAAGATACTTGCTTTGGGTATTTAAATCCTGAAACAGGAAAAATTAATTGTGTAGTATTATTCGATCAAGGGTTTGAAGTGGCATCTGCTATGTACAATATGCCATTAAATACTGGCTGGCAAGTACAGACACTAAGCCGTTCTTTAACGTTTAAGTGTAAAACTAAAAGAAAAAACCGAGAGTGGATAGAGGCCCTTAGAGAGACAACGGCAACAACAGGTAAATTGTATGTTTTGAATTAAATAATTGTTCTTTAATATTCTACGCGTTTTAGTTACTTCAATACAATACAATACAACTTAAATTGGGTGATTATTATATTTTAGCAAGATTATTTGTTCAGCCTAATCCCCATCATTCATTTGCTCCCATAAGATGTAATACGACGGCAACTTGGTTTGTTGATGGATCAAGTTACATGTCGTCTCTTGCGGATGCCATTCAAAACGCGAAAGAGGAAATCTTTATTACGGACTGGTGGTTAAGTCCCGAGATTTATTTGAAAAGACCCGCTATTGTCGCCGACTACTGGAGACTAGATAAATTGCTTCAAAGAAAAGCTGTAAGACGAATTTATTAGTTTTACGAGAAAATCGCGATTAGGCAAGTGTGGTTTCGAAATTGAGGCTGAGGGTCATTAAAGCTTAATGTTTAATATTGATGAAAACACACGATGACTCAGATATCATTTTTTTAAGGAAACATTTTATACATTACGAGTAAATGGCTTGGATCATATTTGAAATCTATGTCTATATATTTATGTCTTTCAACAACATTTAACTAAACTAATCATGCCTTTTTTGTTACTAGAAAGATGGCGTGTTAATATATATACTTTTGTACAAAGAAGTGGAGATGGCCTTAGGATTGAATAGTTTTTATAGTAAGCAAACTTTGCAAGACTTACATAAAAATATAAAAGTGCTTCGCCACCCGGATCATGCAAAGGCCGGCGTTTTTCTGTGGGCACACCATGAGAAGACTGTTGTTATTGATCAAACGTATGCTTTTCTTGGGGGAATTGATCTTTGCTATGGTAGATGGGACGACCAAATACATAGGTAAATATTGAGATATGTTCAACAAACACTCAATTGTACACGGCATAGGCAAAAAATTATGGGTGCACATTTTTAATTATTTATGATTTTTCTTTTGAGATTAACAGATTTGGGTAGCATGACGCCTGCCCTGGATCTGACAACGTTAAGAAAGCGAACCTCTGACAGGCCATCTGGAGTTGTAATCTATCCTATTCCAGTACCGTATTACAAGCAAGTGATAATTCCTCCGGTTCCACCTTCTGATGCACAGGCAGATGCTTGCGTCGAGCCCGATTTGTTGCCTCAACTGGAACCTGGGGATAATTTGTTATTGCCCAACAAGTAAGCTGTAGATAAGCTGTGATATTTTTGCTTGTTCTAAATTTTTATATCCATAATTTTTCCGAATTTTGGAAGCGAGATAAATAATGCTCTAAAAATCGTTTGAATTTTCAGATGCGCTGTGAAACCCAATACGCCAGACATGGACCGGAAAAACGTTTTTATAGATCTAACACATAAAGTTAAGATCAAGGGCAAAGAGCTAATCAACTTAGTATACGCACCCACAGAAGATGAAGGCATTAAGCCAAATACCCCAGATATTAACATAGATGGTACTGATGAAGTGGGTGGAAAGCAAGATCTTCAAACTCCCGAACAGATCATAGAGACGCTCGACGGTTCGGCCAAATTATGGGTCGGAAAAGATTATGTGAATTTCATCGTTAAAGATTTTACCAACTTGGATTTGCCTTTTGATGATTTTATCGATCGGGTGAGACTTCATTTTACTGCTTGTAAATAAAAAATTAATTATATTAAGATTTTAGTCTTCAACGCCCCGAATGCCGTGGCATGATGTTGGCTTGTGCATTCACGGAGAAGCAGCCAGAGATGTAGCAAGACATTTTATTCAAAGATGGAATGCTACTAAGCTGGAAAAGGCCAAGGGCAATGCGATTTATCCTTATTTGCTTCCAAAAGCTTACAATGATTTTAAAACAATGTCAATCAATTTTCCAAACAGCACACATAAGGTTACATGCCAGGTAAGTAGTATTTTTTATCGGAGTTCATTATCTAAGAAACTTAATCTAGTTACATAATTCGCTTTTTAAGTAGCAAAAATTTTCGTAAATTAATTCTCGAATATTTTTTATTTAATTGCCTTGATATGAAGGGTCCAATGTAATAACCGACCAGGTCCAGCGATGTTGATTTTTCAGGAAACAAAAAAAAACTATTTATTTCTAAGCGAAACAATTTCAAAGTTAAAAAACTAAAATACTCTGTAAATTTTTGATCAAGGAATACATATAAGCAACCATATTACTTACATTATTTATATGCGCAAAATTTGGAAATAAAATGGACTTAAATGGTTCTTGCTCAGTTCTTGAAGTTTAGCTTTGTTCTTTCCCGGGATATAGTAATCAATCCAACACAACCTGGTTGATTTTTTTTTATTAATTGAATACATTATGCATGAATATAAACTAAAGATACTGCTTGAGTGGGACAGGATATTTTTTATTCATCGCTGCTGTATTCTGACACAGAAGAATCAATACTAGGCTATCCACTTTATTAAGACTATCCGCAGACTTAAGACTGTATTCCTCGATCTGGTTGTAAAACCATAGCTCACCCTGAGAGAGATAGTTTTTTGCTAAACTCATCACAATATCTTCCTCTGTCTGATTTTTTATACTAAACTCCTGAAATGTCCGTTCCCCAACTGACTCACTGCATTTTAATATTGTTCCCAAATCGCTCTTTAGTTACAATAATATGCGATGTTTTGAGAAAGTACATTTATTATTTTTTGTTGCGGGGTGTTTTTTGTAAAATATGTTGTGTTACTTATGAAATATTTGTTGGTTTGAAAAAGGTTCTTCGAAGTATTAGTACGTGGTCCGGAGGATTTTTGGATCCCGACTATGTGGAGCAGAGTATTCATGAAGCGTATATAGATTCAATAACACGAGCCCAACATTATATCTACATAGAAAATCAGTTTTTCATTACGATGCCCTACCATAATCCAAACATTAAAAATCAGATCGGTGACGCACTGTATAAACGAATTATACGGGCTTACAAGTACGTTTACATTTGAAAACATTAAAATTCTAAAGATTGCTATTGTTTTTCTTTGATTCTCAGGGAAAAAGCTGTTTTTAGAGTTTTTGTTGTAATGCCTTTATTGCCAGGGTTTGAAGGGGAAGTGGGAGCTGCAACTGGTACTTCATTACACGCCATCACACACTGGAATTATGCATCAATTTCATGGTAACATCTGAATAGAAAATATTGTATAGAAAAAGTTCGACTCTAACAACATTAAAAAAAAACTGATCAATACTTTGTAACTGTTTTAGTGGAAAAGATGCATTACTGAATAGACTCAAAGATGCTGGTATAGAAGATCCATCCGAATATGTCTCATTTTACGGCCTCAGAAATCATTCACGATTAAATTCTGAACCAATAACGGAGTTGATATACGTCCATTCCAAGCTCATGATTGTAGATGATAAAATTGTCATATGTGGATCTGCAAACATCAACGATAGATCGCTAATTGGAAAGCGAGATTCTGAAATTGCTGTTATAATAGAGGTTTGGTTTTTTTGTCGGTAACCAATTAAGGGATGCTTACCGATGATGTGTTTATTAGGACGAACTCTTTGACGATGGAATAATGAATGGCAATGCTTATCCATGTGGAAAATATGCTGGTACTTTACGTAAATGTCTTTTTAAGGAGCATCTAGGACTGTTGGACAATTCAGCATGTACGGCTGAGTTTGAGGTGGCTGATCCGATAAGTGATTATTTTTACAGGTACGGTTAACCTTGTGGACACGTCGAAACAGAAAAACAAGTCGAGTTTCCATTTAAGTTTTTTTCTCAGGCTCGCGGTTAACGAGATACAGGGTGTTATTTTAAAAATACATTGGTATTTTCTATGTAACTCCTACAGTGTTATGAGATATTTTGCTCAAATTTTGAACATAGACCGTTTACCCGTAGGTAAAGTAACTGCTGGCGAAAATCTACAGGGCACTTTTTTTCTACAGGCATACCCCCCGAACTTTTTTGTGGTGCGCCACTGACTTCGACCAAACATCTTTTTAATTGGTTGTTCAATGTTT